TGTGTGTGTGTGTGTGTGTGTGTGTGTGTGTGTGTGTGTGTGTGTGTTGTTTGCATGTATGGTGCCTGCAGAGGTCAGAAAAGGCAGTTGGATCCCCCCAGGTCTTGAGTTACAGAAGGTTGTGAGCTGTGGTGTGGGTGCTGGGAACTGAACTCTGGCCATTTGCAAGAGCAACAAGTGCTCTTAAGCACCAAGCCATCTCTCCATACGCCCAAGTCGATTTTTATTAACATTAACAGAATGTGTCCTTGTTTGATTAACTGAAGGAGACACAGGCCTGGAACTGGGACTGATGATGAAGGAGAGAGTACATTTGTACTTTCACACTGAAAAAATGATGCCTTCAGTGATCAGTGGGCCCTTTTACAGGGGAGGTCCCTGCCACATACTGGGATGTGTTTGTTGGTTTGGTTGGTTTTTTGTTTGTTTGTTTTTTTCGAGACAGGGTTTCTCTGTGTAGCCTTGGCTGCCCTGGAACTCACTCTGTAAACCAGGCTGGCTTCAAACTCACAGAGAACTGCCTGCCTCTGCCTCCTGAGTGCTGGGCTTAAAGATGTGAGCCATCACTGCCTGGCTTGCTGGGATATCTTGATGTTAACTGCAGCATCCAAGAATTGAGGAACTTCAGGTTGGTGAGGGAACATGGCCTGTTCTTAACAGAAACGTGCCAAATGCAGACTTTCAGGCTCGTGAGAGGCAGGTGGGTAGGCTTGGGTGCTGAGGCTGGGAGTGCATGTGGGGGACTTAGGGGAAGAGGAGGATTTGAAGGTGAAAACCTGGGTCACAGACGGGCATGGTGGTCCACACCTTTAGTCTCAGCAGGGGAGGCAGACACAGGTAGATCTCTGTGAGTTCAAGGCCAGCCTGGCCTATATAGCAAGTTCTAGGACAGCCAGGATGGAAAGATCCTGCCTCAAAAAACAAAAACAACCCCAAAAGCTTGTGTCTCTACTTTATCTGTTAGAACATGTTCCTGGCCATCATCAATGACACATACTCAGAGGTCAAGGAGGAGCTGGCTGGCCAGAAGGACGAGTTGCAGCTTTCTGACCTCCTAAAACAGGTCAGTCTCTTCGAGCGGCATATCTATGTCTGGACTTGGTTCCAAGGAGCTGTGCCATGGCAGGCTGTTCTTGACGGGGGCAGGCACCTGCGCCCTTGAATGCCTTTGACCTGTAGCTGGGGGCTTGGGATCTTTAGGTGAAGGTGGGGACCAATGGTGCTGAGGACCCTGTGGGAACTTCTATCTGATTCCTCTCCCTTTCAGAGCTACAACAAGACCCTACAAAGGCTGCGCCTGAGGAAGGAACGGGTTTCAGATGTGCAGAAGGTCCTGAAGGGTGGGGAGCCAGAGATCCAGTTTGAAGATTTCGCCAACACCTTAAGGGAGTGAGCAAATGGAGACCCAACCTTCTTTGAAATTGGTCTAAAAATTTGTGACCCTCAGCTATGCATCCTTTGCTGACTAGCTTTGGTCTACGGGCCTGTGATCTTGACTTAGGGGCTCCTGACCTTCAGAATTGTGACCTTGCTTTACAGATCTCTGACCATAGTCTATACATATTCTGGGCCTTGTTGAACAACTCTTACACCTAATATATTGTCCTATTCTTACATATACCCCACATATATACCATCTGTGGGCTAGCCATGAGTAGGGGATGATACAATTAAATGAGACAAAAATCTTTGTCTCCTAGGAGCTCAGAGGAACATAATAGGCCAAAACACAGACTAAGCTTAAGAACCGAGTGACTTGAAGAGAGAGAGGCTTAGAATAAAGAGAGTTATCAATCCTTCTTGAGATTAAAGGAAGGCTTCCAGGAAGAGGTGACGACTGAAGAGGGTTTTGGAGAATGCCTAGCTTACACATGGACATCAGAGGAAGGCCAATGATAGTTGAGCATTGTTAGAACGAGTGAATGGGGAGTTATAGGAGGAACTGAGACCATGGCCAAGGCCTTGAACATCACCACTGTATCCAAGAAATAGGGTGCTTAGGAGGGACTTTAAAGCAGGGAATTAAATGCTTTTGGATGTGCATTTTCTATTACATTTTATTATTTTTGAGCTGGGTCTCACTTTAGTACCCCAGTTCACCTTGATTTGATTCTTCCTCTAGCCTCTGCTTCCCAAATAATTAGGAATTATAGACATATTCTGCAACGCTAGGATATTAAACTTGTTTTTTTTTTAATGTTAATTACTTTCATTATAGGGGATGGATTTCAGGAGTAGGGAATGAAAGGGAAGCTAGAATTGTGGGGTGGCAGCTGGTTATTTAGGGGCAAGGAAATGTAATAATTTCTGGATGAGACCCAGAGGTCCTAACAGAGCCAGTAAGAGTCAGGATGTGAAGAAATGAAAGAACTTATTGGGAGTACAATAGTTGGACCCTAAAGATCCTGGCTTTTCCATGTGATCCTCCTCTTCTTCAGAAGTGAAGACTCAGAGATCAAGACTCTAACAAGAGTCTAGTACAAGGGCAGTGGGCTGTATTTGAGTGGTTAAAGTTGCTTCATCCTCTTGCTTTTCTCAGACTGGGGCACGAGGAACATGAGGTCTGTGAGCTCACCACTGCTTTCACCAGGTTTGATCAGGATGGGAATCACATTCTGGATGAGAAGGAGCAGGAACAGATGCGACGAGGTCTGGAAGAGGAGAGGGTGAGCAGGGCTGGTTGGTGGGGAGGAAGTATAAGTACACCCCTCAAATCTCCTCCCTCCGAAGCATACCCAAACCAAGTCCAAGGTGAATGCCCTCCCATGAATGAGCAAGAAAGAACTCTACTGCATATCAAATATTCAGGAGAGCCTTTAATCACCCTCATTCTCAGGCTCCATATCCCAGACCACTCAGCTCAGAAGCTCCGGGTGGTAGGGCTAAAACATTAGAACTTTCTAAAAACTTCCAAGGTGATTCCAGCACACAGCCAAGGTTCAGAACCTTTGCTTTGCAAAAGGAAACGGTTCCCAAGATAATTCCTGGCAATCCTCTATGAGGACCTGTTTCTTGGAGTTTTGAAATTGACCCTACCTTGTGCTCGCTTCGGCAGCACATATACTAAAATTGAAATGAAATTGATCCATCCTGCTTTGCCTGCTCCATCCCCATTCGGTGTAGGTCAGAAGATTCAAGAGCAGTGGTACCTGAGATAGGGAGGAATGGCAGAGAAAAGAAGCCCAAGGCTGGGATGAGCCTATTCACAGCCGAGGCAAAGGCACGGGGCTTTCCAGTCATCCTTTCCCCTTCCCCATCAGGCAGCCCTCAGTGCTGAGATTGAGAACCTAGGCCAGTCCACTGGATACAGCCCACCAGGTGAAGTGGGCACAGAGGCAGACAGCAGAGGAGGCTGGGTTTCTGGAGAAGAATTCTACAGGTATGTGGAGGAGGGATCCAGGAATGGCTGGCTTCGAATCTACTCTTTATTTACTACGTATACAGTGTTCTGCCTGCATGTACACTTGCACGCCAGAAGAGGGCACCAGATCTCATTATAGATGGTTGAGAGCCACCATGTGGGTGTTGGAATTGAACTCAGGACCTCTGGAGGAACAACCAATGCTCTTAACCTCTGAGCCATCTCTCCAGCCCTCAAATCTACTCTTGAGACTCCACAATAACCCAGTTCCCTTTCCTAGTCCAGGGGGAGTTTCTGTTCCCCTGAGATTCTCCCTACAAGGCTGGGCCTCACCATCCTCATACCCAAGCAGGCAAACATCATTGTACTGTCTCGAGTACAATAGCCCTGCGCATGCCCAGACCTCATTCCTGCTTCCTTGGTCTCTCTCAAATCCCACGCAGGCTCACAAGGAGAGTGCTGCAGCTGGAGAGTATCCTGGAAGGGGTCGTGTCCCAGGTTGATGCTGTGGGCTCAAAGCTGAAGATGCTGGAGAGGAAGGAGGAACTGAACCTCATCCCAAAAATGGTGAGTTTCCTTCACTTGGGTCCTCTGAGTTCTTTACAGCTGGAATCCATCTGATTTTCCACTCTGTTAGGGAGGACATTCTAGAAAGACCTGGGGAATGATGCTCATGGTGATTGTATGTCAGTGGAGGTGGGGGTGGAGGCAGGCCCCAAAGTTGCTTAAGTCAGCCTATAGATCACCTTGACCTTTTAGGAAGGTTTTTGTCTTAGTTTCTTTGAGTTGCTATAATAAACTATCAAAGGTTAGGTTGCCTATAAACGGAAATGTATTTTTCACAGTTTGGGAGGCTGGGAAGACTAAGATCGCGCCTCCTAGCAGACTCAGGATGTGGTGAAAGCCAGCTTCTTGCTTCATGGACCACCTGATTCTTGATGTGTGCTCCTGTGGTGGCAGGAAAGGGGGCACTAAGCCCCTCTATAAGGGCTCTACCCGCAAGACCTCACCACCCACCAAGGGCCTCACTTCCTAATACTGTCATAGTGGAGATTAGCCTGTCAGCATCAGACTGTGGGGAGACACAAACATTAGTCTGTGGCAATCTAGGTTTTCCGTAATTAGATTCGGAGAAAAATAAATTACTCCTTCAAACAAGTTATGTGTTTTCCTTCCAGCAGGAGGCGCCAACTGTTTGGAAGGACCTGTATAACCAGTCTTAAAGGTCACTCCAGCCCTCTTGAGAGTGCATGGGGGGGGGGCAAGAGAATGGAAAGGGGATCCGAGAGAACCAGACAGCAAGTTCCTCTCTCTATGACTTCCCAGAAGCCTCTTCTCCATATGCCCCCACCCCATCCCCACCCCCTTCTAGGGCATTGTGTCTCATGATAGCTGCTGTGGAGTCCCACCCTGTACCTAGCCTTTTGAGCCAATGTTTTTGTGTGTAGCTGGGCAGCATCCTTAGGCTTGTCCCTCGGGGTTTCTGTATGTAGCCACACAGCCCTGAAAAGTAGCACTTCCTACCTGGCTTCTCACTTCCTGTGCATTTACTTCTGCCGCAGTGACTATCATCAATAACAAACAAGAAAAAGAAAGAGACGGCAGTGACTGTCCTGAGCAGCTCAGATAGACACGATTGGCCAAAAGGTAGAAGCCCAAAGAGTAGGCAATGGAAATGTCTTCCTACATTCCAGTAACCCTTACTCTTACCCTGTGTGCGTCTTACACACACCCATCGGCAGGCATGGGTGTGTGGAGGGGAATCTTCTATTCCTCCATGAAGTTTCCCTGTAAGAAAGAAAAGGAAGCCTTAGAGGAAAGTGGCCTCCTGTGTGGTGAGATTCCAACAGAGGAGTTAAGAGTTCCTCCAAAGGGAAGTCAAGGAAGGCTCCTCTGGAGGAGCCTGCTTTCTGAATCAACCAAGAGATTTTAACAGGATTCGTTGATCTTTGGACTGATATGTGGTGGTCTCTCATAGGACAGAGTGGGCTTCCAAGGTGAATTTCAATAAAGCTCTTTAGAAAACCGGGTCTTTCATTTACTTCTGGGGTTATAGAGGGAAGACGGAGGATGGAGATGTAAGACATCTGTGGGCACTTTCCGGAAGGCACAGAGTGACAGCCACGCCAATGTCAAGAAGCTTGTTGTCCCAGGAGTCTTGAACTAAGAAGCGCCGCCTCACAGGAACGCTTGAGATAGCAGCTACCATGATTATTCCATAGAAAAGAGTGGAGACAAGCCCCTAGGGAGAACCAGTCCCCACAAAGGAGATAGTCAGGTTAGGAAAGCTTAGGGGTAGGGGCAGCCACATGGTGTGTGTGTGTGTGTGTGTGTGTGTGTGTGTGTGTGTGTGCGTGTGCGCGCAGACACACACACATGCACAAGTGGCTGGAGGATAAATAATAATAATAATAATAATAATAATAATAATAATAATAATAATAAAGTCTCTTACAAGATCAAAATTCAAGATTTTGGATGCTCATGAGCTTGCATCCTGAACACTCAACTTTCCCCCTCTTTGGTGACCTTCATTACACCCCCACACTGAACCTTCCCTTGCTCCCCAGTACATTTTTCTCATTCTTCATCCCCGTCACTCTCACCTGTTCTCACATTCCCCTTAAGTATTCCATAAACCTAAGTGACTTGTGCAGCAACTACGTACAGCCAAGATAATCTGTCAACAACGATGGACGCTTCCCTCAAGAAAGATCCTTTCAATTAAACGGCATTAGGGGCTAGCTTGCAGTGCAAGAAACCTGAATCAGCATTGACATTAGTCCAATTCCAACGGGATGGGGAAAGGAGAACATTCGGGATCAGGAATCAAGGCAGAAAACTTGCGGGAGACGACTTGCAAAGCAGGGATTCCCTGAGCGATTCTTTGGTGAGCAAAACCTGTCAGGCTGCTGGTGTCTGTGGAGGAGGTCACCTATCTCCAATAACTTCAGCTGACAAGTTCTGGGTCCATTCTGGGGTCTCCATTCTAGTACCAGCCAAGTGCCAGTTCTAGAGTTATAGTTGCAGGCATGAACCAGACATTGTGATTCTCAGCAACGGGCTGATTCGCAATAGCGTGCTTTAGCTTCAGTATGGGCTTCACCTTCACACTTGAGGCTTGACGAGCTAAGCGAGGGGGCCGCGAGCCAGCAGCGGGGCGGGGCACTCGCGGTGCGCACGCGCAGACGCCCCAGAACCGGAAGCCGCGCTGGGCCGGGCATGGCGGCGGCTGCGGAGGGCGTCCCTGCGACGCGACGCGAGGAGCCGCCTCGAGGTAGTACCCCGCGTGGATGGGGGTGAGACGGCTGTTGGGGGTCGGGTCCGGATGCGGGAGCGGCTGCCCCGGTGTGCCGCGTCGGGGCACTGAGACGAAGGTCTGGCCGCTGAGCAAGGGAGCGGAGTTGGTGCTTCGGGTGGGCGAGTGCCAAGTGGGGGGCGGGGGGCTGGAGATGCTGGCAGGTGGGGAGCGGAGGCGGCGCGACGGCGGCAGCACGGGTCGGAAGGGACGTGGGAAAAGGCCGCCCTGGCTGGGTTAGCCCTGGGCCCAGGTCACTTCCTCACCCCTCACCCGCCCACCCCGCCTTGGCCAGATGATGCTGCGGTGGAGACAGCTGAGGAAGCAAAGGAGCCCGCCGAAGCGGACATCAATGAGCTCTGCCGGGACATGTTCTCCAAAATGGCCACATACTTGACTGGGGAGCTGACAGGTGAGACGCCGTCCCGGCTGCTCCCGGGGGCGCAAGTCGCTTTTGGCTCCGCGGAAACCTGAGAGGTGCTTTTTTAGCAGCCTCTGTCAGTGGTTGAACAGGAGGGAAAGAGCCCCGTTTTTTATCCTATTTTAAGCTCACCAGCTGCTTTAAAAACATAGATCTGCAGGCCTCTTGTAGTAACGATGCTTAACAAGGACTCTACACTCTTAGTCAAAAAGTGCCTCTCTGGGGGAGGTGCATTTTAGGCACAGTTGTGAAGGACATGGAAAAGGGGGAAAACGATACAATTAGTTAAGGAGCTGGAATAAGCAAGCGATTAATTAGACCAGAAGGTTAGTCTGAAGATCGCTGACCCACCTTTGGGACACGGTTAGATTTTAGTTCGGTGTGCCCGCACCTGTGTCTGAGGTGGAGTCTGGGCCATCTGGACTGTCATGAGAATTTACATTGTGGCAGGGCGTGGTGTGGCAGGGCACGCACGTTTCATCCCAGCACTCCGGGAGGTAGAGGCAGGGGGATGTCTGTGAAACGGAGAGTATGGGTGTGAGCACATTACAGAAGCAGACCTATAGGGTTTGTTGAAGAGCGTATTAGGTAGCCTAACATACTTGTGAGGTTTTCACTGTGGGTAAGGACCACCAACCAAAATAGAGAAGCTGAAGAGAGGAACCACGTTTGTGTGGGAAACTGTTTCAGTTTTGGCTTGGCTGTAAGCTGTTACTGAGACGCTCAGGTGTGTCCTGTGAGTCCCGAGCTCAGGCTGATCTTTGCAGAGGAGGCACGGGCATCATGTGGTGTGGGTGGAGGCTATGCAGAATGAGATTGTAGGGCTTACAGTCGGACCTCTTCTGGGCCCACACTGACATCTCAGGAAATGGAGCAGCGCATTTTCCAAGTGATTGCTTTGCCTGGTGAGCCACGTTGGCAGCCCCAAATAATTTATTTTAGATCCTTACTGAAAGTTCCAAAGTTTCTGAGTGATGAGAAAACTCAGTTAAACCAGTGTTATTTCTCCACTGTTGTCATTCTTACTTGTACAAATGCTTTTTGAAAAGAAAAAAAAAATTAAATTACTAATTGGGTGCACATGTGGGCGCATGTGTACTTGGCAGTGTGCTGTGGCTCATGTGTGGAGATTGGAGGACAGCCTTGGGAGTCAGTTCTCTCTTCTCACCATACGGTTCCAGGGATTGATCAATGGGCAAGCATTAGGACCTGAGTTCTGGGGAGGTAGAAGTAGGAGGATTCCAGGAATGGGTTGGCCACTCTAGCTAAATTGGTGCGCTCCAGTGAGAAATCTTGTGTAAAAAAAAAAATAAAATAAAATAAAGTAGAAAAAATACGGTAGGTAGCAATTGAGAAAGAACCATTGACATATATATATATAATTTAATCCAACTTTTGTTGAGTCAGGGTTTCTCTTTGTAGCCCTGTCTATCCTGCAACACATTCTGTAGACCAAACTGGCCTTGAACTCAGAGATACACCTGCCTCTGCCTCTTGAGTGCTGGGATTAAAGGTATGTGCCATCACTGCCTGGCATATATATTTTTTATACTATAGAAGTACCGAGACTATTTTGCCTTTCTTTTCTTAGACATGATTTTACCATTTTCTTTTCTAACCATGAAACAAACTCTTCTAGACCTTGCTTAGTTTAGTTTGCTGCCTCAGTTTCTACTTCAACATTCAGGGTATAGGCTAAGTATGAATGTCACAGATTGAAAGTAGCCTGCTCTTTTGACATTCCATGGGGTTCTCTGTATTCCCTTCCTGAACTCCTTTGACCTGAAATTCTGTATTGCAGTAGCTGCAGACAAATTAAAGGCCACCTATGTTCTGTTCCTTTCAAAGCCACTAGTGAAGACTATAAACTCCTGGAAAACATGAATAAGCTAACAAGCTTGAAGTACCTTGAAATGAAAGATATTGCTATAAACATCAGCAGAAACCTAAAGGACTTAAACCAGAAATGTGAGTGCTAATTTTCATCACGCCACTAAGTACTGCTTGTACTTCATGTTCTTTAGTGCTTAGGGCCAAGGAGAGCCAAGCACAGGGTATCCCTGCCTCCTGGGAGCTCGGGTTTCAGAAAGGGGAATTCCGTTCTGAAGAGGAGCATGCTTTCCTAGAACGGTGATTTCTGCTTCTAAACCTTGCTTTGGTCAGTGCATTTTCCTAGAAGGGACGTGGACAGGTGAGAGTCTGAGTGAGTTGATTTAACAATGAAACCCACAAAGGGCTGCTTCATAAGCCAAAAATATATAAACTGAAAATGTTCCTTTAGAGTGGTCTGGGTTACCTTCCCACTGAAACATGGCACTGGGACACCCTTGATATGGGCATGCCCAAGATGCAGACTCAGTAGCAGAAAGACTCTCAAGAAATAATGCCACTGGGAAGGAAAGGGAAATTCGAAGAGGGGAATGACTTTGGCTGGCTCACCGATGTGCCCCCTAAGGCAGCTGTGTCTTCCCAGAGCATCTGCTCTGCTAGTGACCTTTATGTCAGCCCCCACCCATCATTGCTAGGCATAGCAGGAGGAAGCTGTAGCTTTCTTAGTTTGTGCTTTTTTTCTGTCCTTGCTGACGGATATGGGCCTGCGGTTTGTTTTCCAGATGCTGGGCTGCAGCCGTATCTGGACCAGATCAACATGATTGAAGAGCAGGTGGCAGCTCTCGAGCAGGCAGCCTACAAGTTGGATGCTTATTCAAAAAAACTGGGTAATCATTTCTCTTAGGATTACCTGCACATTTGCTTGTCACGTGTGCACGGTACTTGTAGAAGTCAGAAGGGGCCATCGGATGTCCCTGAATTGGAGTTACAAATAGTCCTGAGCTGCCATGTGGGTGTTGGGAGGTGCTGGGAATGAAACCCAGGTCTTCTGGGAGAGCATCCAGTGCTCTTAACCACTGAGCCATCTCTCCAGCCCTTTTGTTTTGATTTGATGATGAGTATGTAGCTAAGCGTGGTGATGCACATCTGTAAGCCCAGGACTCAGGAAGCTGACGCAGAAGGGTTGTTAACTCATATTCAGGTCAGGTCATACGGTGAACATGTCTTAAAACTAAAAACAAATGAATACAACTTGAGAAATTAAATATGTACTAAATAGCTTTTCTGTACTTACTGATTTATCAAGCACTGTTCTGAATGATTTGCATATACTGTACTCTTTGTTCTCTATGAGGTGATTTTTGTTTTGTTTTTGATACTTTTTTCTTTTCTTTCTTTTTTTTTGAGAAAGGGTTTCTCTGTGTAACCTTGGCTGTCCTCTTTGAGACAGGGTTTCTCTGTGTAGCCTTGGCTGTCCTGGACCAGTCTGTCCTCAAACTCAGGGCTATCTATCTGCCTCTGCCTCTCCCGAGTGCTGGGATTACAGGCATATGCCATCATGCTGGGCTGTTTTTTTGGTTTTTAGAGACAGGGTTTCTCTGTGTAGCCCTGACTACCTGGTACTCACTGTTTAGACCATGCTGGCCTCAAACTCACCGAGATCCACACATCTGCCTTTGTCTCTCAGGCACTGGGTTTAAAGACATTCATCTCCATGCCTGGCAGCTTTTTAAATTTTTTAAAAAAGTTTCTGTTCTCTAGAGAAGGTAAATGTGTTTTAAGAGACAAAGTAACTTGCTGAAGGATACAGAGCTGGTAAAGCACATGGAAAAGCCATGAATCAGCTGTCTGATTACAGCGCCAAGCTCTTCTCTGTGGCTGACCTGCTGAGTTAGTAATGTAGATATGTATGGCTTTAAAGAGTCATTCATTTTTTATTATGTATACAGTGTTCTGCCTGCATGTACACCTGCATTCCAGAAGAGGGCACTGATCTCATCCTAGATGGTTATGAGCCACCATGTGGGTGCTGGGAATTGAACTCAGGACCTTTAGGAAGAGCAGCCAGTGCTCTTAACCTTGGAGCCATCTCTCCAACCCCCTTCTGAACATATTCTTATCCTAGGTAGCTTTTACAGGTTCTTTTATTTTTAGCATTGCTACAGGTTGGCTGTTTCAAAAGAGTGGTTTGTAAGTTGCCATTTAATAGGAGAAGCAATCAACATTCAATTTCAGTCTTTACAATTACATTGAGTACGTCTTAGCTGTGAACCTCACCATTCAGAAGGCATCACAGCCTTTGAGGTTTTGGAAGCCAAGAAAGATTTGGGTGTGGAGGCATATGCCTGTAATCTTTTGGGAAGTGGAGGCAGGAAGATCAGGAGTTCAAGACTAGCCAGCCCAGGCTGTCTGAAAATTTGTCAAAGGAAAAAAAAATCACAGCAATAGGCTTATTTGGTGACATTTTAAATTTCTGTATCTTTAGGCTTTTGTATCTTTCCAAATTGCTTTCTAAAGTGAGAGAGGACATAGAAGGACTGGGGTGCAGTTCGCCTGGTAGACTGCTTCCTTGCCAATCATGAAGTCCTGGGCTGAGGAGCACCAAATCCTATCCACCAGGACACTAGGGATGCCATGTCCCGGGTTCTATACCCAGGGCCAGACAAAGGGCATGGTTGCACATGCCTAGAAGTCTAGCACTCAGGATGTGGAGGTAGCAAAATCAGAAGTTCCAGGTCATCCTTGGCTGCATAGTCTGAAGGCAGCTTGAGATTTGTGAGACCTGTCTAGGCTGGGTGGGTGGAGGGTGGATGTAGGGAGAAAAGAAATGAAACATAACAACAAAAACATTTGCTTGCACTTCTTGAGTGTTCCAGTCTGGTTCCAGAAGGTACCTGGGATTGTTCCTGTAAGGGTGGTTTTCAAAATGTCGTAGGCTCCCAACAGGGTCAGGGCCAGTGGATCCTGCTTCACTCTGTCTGAGCTACGCCCGCGTGTGCTGTTGACAGTTAGAACTTAGTGCTGTGCTTTGGGCTCAGTCAGGGCGTGTATCTGTGTCTTTGAAGTTGTGCAGATCGTGATCTGTATGTGGGCTATGGCGAGGCTGAAGCTGCTGCCTTCTTAAGAGTGTGATAGGTGTTTCTGAACTTGATTGAAAATCTAACTAAAAAGTGTTTTTGTGAGTGCTGGTGTTGAAAGATATAATTCCTGTTCTTCCCCAAACAGAAGCCAAGTACAAGAAGTTGGAGAAGCGATGAGAAATGTGTTCCCGTGGATCAAGTGTTTTTTAACATGGAAGAATGTTTTATAACTAGTAAATCCTGAGGCTGATGAACCATCCCAGCTGCTGGTTAATCCCAAGGCCATCTGACGCTGGATGAACTGGAGGGCTCTGGCTGCTCCCAAGTCTCCTGAGGTGGCATCTCGAAACTCACACTTGGAGCGTCTCACCCTTTACTTGAATGCTTCATCATCTACTCAAGACTGAGACTCTAGAGAGTTCAGGGCTTACTTGGGCTTGCCGGTACAGTCCAGTGAGAGGACCTGCTTTCCCTGGTAGTGGGCAAGTAGCACAGTATTTTCTAAAATGGCTGTTTTGTTTTCTGTTGATGATGGTAATGTATTGCTTACAAGATTCTAAATTAAAAAGGAAAACAAACAAGTGTGTTTTTTTGCAACCTGTTACTATCTATGTGGCAATAATTTGCTTTTCCATAACACTGCAAATAACAGAAACTACCAAAACAATTCCAAGCCAAGTCTTTTTTTTTTAGATTTACTTATTTATTATGTATATAATGTTCTGCCTACATATACACCTGCACAGCAGAAGAGGGCAGCAGATCTCATTATAGATGGTTGTGAGCCACCATGTGGGGGCTGGGAATTGAACTCAGGACCTCTGGAAGAGCAGCCAGTGCTCATACTTCCAAGCCATCTCTCCAGCCCCCCAAGCCAAGTCTTCAAGACTGAGAAGGAGGGAAAGGAGTGTTTTGCTAACTTAGTGTGAGGGGCTCCTTCCACCAGGCCTGGGATGTGCTGTGCAAGTGCCCAACTGGTAGCTGCCTCCCAGCTCTTCCACTCCATTTTGAAGCTAGATCTGTAGGGCAGCAGTTCAACCGGTGGGTTGCACCCTCTTTGGGAGTTGTGTATCAGGTATCCTGCATGTCAGATATTTAAATTATGATTCATAACAGCAAAATTGCAGTTTTAAAGTAGCAGTGAAACAATTTTATGGTTGGCGGGCGTCACCACAACATGAGGAACTGTATTAAAGGGTTGCAGCGTTAAGAAGGCTGAGAGCCATTGCTCTTAGGTATTCAGTAGACTCTAAGTTTGAGACCCTCCTGTTTCAGCCTCCCCTTCAGGTTCAGTTTCTTCTCTCTTTCTACTTGAGTCAGATGTGTGTATGTGTATGACGCCCTGAGATCTGTTCTGTTTTGGAAACGTGGTAGACAAGATGTGTATGTGTGCTTGTGTCTTAGATGTGGAAGGTGGGAGCTAGCATTCATATAATAAAGCAACATAATTTGTAACATCTGTCCTACTTGTATCTGTGGGGTAAGGGGAATTTTGGGGAACCCAGCTGACTAAAGACATCAGATGATAGGGGTTGGATTGGGAAGAAACATAACATGTTCCTACAGTTACATGCTGTTAGCTAGCAAGGTGCCTGATGTTCTCAGTGTCATTCCCAAGTGTGGTAGTTTGAACAAGAATGGCCCGATAGGCTCATGTATTTGAATACTTAGTCAGTAGGGAGTGGCACTATTTAAAAGGATTAAAAGAGTTATGGGGTGTGGCCTTGAAAAAAAATGTGTCACTGGAGGTGGGCTTTGAGGTTTCAAAAGCCCATGCCAAGTTCAGTGTCTCAGGACGTAGCTCTCAGCTACTCCAGCCACATGTGTGCCTGCCTGCTGCCATGCTTCCTGATGATAATGGACTAAACTTCTGAAACTAGAAGCAGGTCCCCAGTTAAGTGCTTTCTTTTATAAGAGTTGCCTTGGTCAGTCTCTTCACAGCAATAGAACTAAGAGAGGTATTTCTCTTTCCACCTGCCCTGGCTGCTGCAGACTCATCATCGTCTATCCTTCCTTCTCTGAGTTGTAATGGCCTTTTATTTAAATAAGAAAAGACATATGTGTGCACATGTTTTGTCTGCATGTACACAAGTGCATCATGTACCTTGGGCCTGTGGAGGTCAGAGGAGGGAGCTGAATTTCCTGGAACTCCAGTTACTTACTGATGGTTATGAACTACCACATGAGTGCTTGGAACAGAACTCAGATCCTCCGAAAGAGCAGAAGTGATCTTAATCATGAAACCATTTTTCCAGCCCCCCAAAATAGAATTCTTATGTATCCAAAGGTCCTGCTTTAAAAAAAAAAAAAAGTTTCCAGCTGGGTGTATGCCTGTAATCCCAGCACTCAGGGAGACAGAGGCAGGAGAATCACTGTGTTTGAGGCCAGCCTGGTCTACAAAGTGAGTGTAGGACAGCCAAGGCTACACAGAGAAACCCTGTCTCAAAAAACAACAAAAGTTTCCTGTTATCCCTATACTTACACTGTATAAAGCCATTTTCAGCTACCTTCCATTCCTATGGGTAAGTTTTCATTTTTAGGAATGATTTGAACCTATAGGAAAATTGCAACAATACAGAATTTCATAGACAATTTTTCATATTCTACTGTTTTATCATCTCTGAAATCATTAGCTATTCATAGTCGCTGACCCAAAAGGTAACCAAAGGCCTAAGCTGCCAACAATGCGGGGGTGTTAGTGTGTACAAGGCAAATGATCTAATATTCCCCCCACAAGCATCGCAGAAATTGTGAGAGAAATCAGACTTGAGAGTCTTTCTTAACCTTTAATTTCTGATTACTTGGCGTGTCTCTCATTTGGCAGGACAGTAGTTTCCACCTCTTTTTACACTGTTGCTAATTGGACTGGCCGATTCAGAAAAATCAATGTCCTGAAAAGGAAAACAAAAAGAGACTAGAGATAGGAGCAAATGAGCATGTGAAATTTGTTTAATTCCTGAATGAAAATAGACCCACAGTCTATTTCAATTGTAGAGAACTCCTAAATACTCATATTTATTAGGCCTTGTTGCTGAATTAATTTCCATCTTCATTAGGGTTCTAATATTAAGATCACTTGAGGGAGAATATTTTTATTTACATATGAGGTCTGCACTCACTTTCAAATAACTCTGAGAATGAAAGTGCAGAGTTAGAATCAAGGTTATTCTACGTAGGGAGATGTCTCAGTCACCTTTACCACAAAAACGTAGACTAGAGTTGGGATCCCCAGCACTTATCGGCAATCCCAGAGTTCAGACAGCAGAGTTACGGGGTCTTTTGGGCAAGATGGCTAGCTAGACTAGTCTAACCGGATGAGTTCTGGGTTTAAATGAGATACCTCATCTCACTAAATAAGGTGGGGCAATGGAGGAAAACTCCTGACGTCAACTTCTGGCCTCCACAGACACCTGCGTGCACACACACCACAACAAAAACAATACCCCCAGCCAGGCTTGGAGAGACGTCTCAGCCGCTATGCGCACTTGCTCTGTTATGAGAACAACGGTTTGGATACCAGAATCCACATCAGAGGCCTCAGGGCTGTAACTCCAGCTCCAAAGGATCAGCATCCTCTTTCGGCCCCAACACAACGCACACGCGCGCGCAGTTCACTAACTCCAGATGTTTCTAAGACAAACACAAGAAAACGCAAAAAAAAAAAAAAAAAAAAAAAAATTGTTTCTCATTCCTCCATCCCTTTCACTACAGAGTGCTCGCCTTAAAACCGCGGAGAGAGTTTTATCCCTCCGCTCGCCCTGTAGTTAGGTAATGGCTCATTGGCTGAGCTGTGTGATGTCATATTTCCGCGCTCAGCGCTCTAACTTGGAGGCGCTCCCGTGCCCCACGCTTTGGGTTGCCGTGCCTGCACAGGCTGTCGGTACCGATGGATCAGAAGCCGCTGCGTCTGTGAGTGACCTTGCATCGGTAGACTCAGGGACGTAGGAGGAAAGGAGAAAAGGCGAGGGGCGCGCGGAGGGGCGCGCGGAGGGGCTTTCTCCAGACCGGAAGGGGAAGGCGGAGGGAGAGGGGGAGGTCGCGGGGCTTCTGGGAGCTGGAGTCGAGGCTTCCTGCTCTCCTGTTCCACTTCTGTTTTGCCCTGGTGTCTTCAGAGCCAAAGTCTAAGGCAGCTAGGATTAGGTAGAATGATGGCAGAGGGAGAAAGTTCAGGAATTGATGGTTTATTAAGCAGATGTAATTAATAGAGCCTGGTGATGTTTTGGTTGTGAGGAACTCCCACTACAAGACACTCTATAGATTTCCGTTTTCAGCTATTGGGATCAGAAAGAGCTGTAAAGGGGCCCACATCCAAATAGTGAATATTGAGTTTGCCTTCCAGGAATTGATAATCAACGGGGACTGAAAAGATTTTAGCGGCTCTTAGAGAATAAATTAGACGACAGAGTAGTTATGACAGAGTTTGTTCTGAAATGGTATATGGGTTCTTGAGATTTTGAGAGAGAGTGGTTTTTTTTGTCAGTCCAGGAAAGCTACAGAGATTTAGTAGGCCTTGATGGATGAAAAAGTTTTGAGGATGAGTACAGTGGGGCTGTTAGGGGGGAAGAGAGAGTGAGAGAGCGCTTTCCTAGAGAAGAGCAGGGACAGAGTGATCATTCTGCAGTTTGGGAAGAGTTTAGTTGGGAAAACTTAGAGAAAGTACTGGAAAGACAGGCTAGGACCTCAGGAAAAACTGTTTCTACAGGAAATTGGGCACCTTTTAATGTTTTTAGGAAGGAACATCAAACTAATGGCTGTGTGTTGAATGAGTAGAAAACAGAGAAAGCACTAGTTTATCAAGTACAGTCTATCTTGCATCCCAAACCAGATAAACTAGGATTCTCTGCCTCATCATAACTCTTGGTTGCTCGGCCTCCTTCATTCCTACTTCTCCCTTATTACCCACCCTACTTCCCTCCTTAGTTTGTGTTCATACTTTAAGCTCCTCATCTGTTTTTCTCTTCCCTGTGTCCACTGGCCATTGCCCGTGTTTACACTTTCAGTTGTAGTTAACTGTTCCTCTAGACCATCATTTACTGGTCTTAAAAGTATTGATGAAACATGTACAAGCATATCATTATGCTGCTTGAAAATGTTCAGTGGTAGGAACAATAAAAGAACACCAGAGAGACATACTGACAAAACAATAGAAACTGTAGTATTTTTAGTTAAAAGGCATTAAAATAAATAACGGCTGATGAAATGCCCCAGTGAGTAGCAGCATTTCCCTGCAAGCCTGATGACCTGAGTACAGCTCCTCATGACACACATGGTGGAAGGAGAGAACTCTCTCCGTGGCACATGTATACCCTCCCAACATAATCCCTCCCACAAAGTAAAAAACAGACAAAGGACTATGTAAGTCAGAACATAGATGTTAGAACAATTCGCATTATAACTTGGGATGGTCCACCTTATAAACCTTAGCTTTTGCCATTTCTGCTTCCTGCTCCATAACACTTTATGCTTGCCTCCTGTCTTAGCCTTTTCCATATAATTTTAGGATTGAAGCTTCTCTTACCTTGTTGTAAACTCTGTGAGGCTTTAAATGAGTCTTCCTGCTCTTACAATTCTGCTGTGTTCTCAGGACAGTATTCGACATTGTGGACTTTTAATAGTGTAGTTGTTCAGTTGGTGTTTACTAACTGGTAACTGATGCTGTGTAGTGAGGCTCAGGCAGTGGAAATAAGGAGGAGAGAATGGTTATGAAAAACCTTTGGAGAACAGGATACTTGGACTCAGATTAAATAAGGGACTCACTGACTCTTAGTGATCAAATTGGTGATAAACCCATTCTCAAAATCTGTAAACGAGAAGGAGTTGGCTGGGTTTTGAAGACACGAAGTGCTAGGTATTAAATATGTGCTAGGTAAACTGGAGACGTTGGGGAGATCTTCAGGAAACGCAGCCTGGTGTCTAGGAACGTTTGATATGCACCAAACATCGGAGGACTCCAGCAGAGCCTGGTTCATCTCTCCAATCCGGAAGACAAATACCCGTGTAACGGGCCTACAGATCTGAATTGCTGTAATGTTTATCTCTCGTTTGCAGCTTGGCCTGTGGAGATGTTGAAGGAAAGTTTGATGTTTTATTCAATAGAGTTCGAACAATTCAGAAGAAAAGTGGAAACTTTGACGTAAGATGATCATTTTTCCTGAAATTTTACTACTGTGGTCAAACATTAAAGTGTAGGTTCTTTGTTAATTTTATGGCTGACTCTTCGTTTTTTTGTTAGGTTGATTTTTTTTTTAATAGTAGTTATGGATTGATGTGTTAAGGGAGACCTATATACTGTTCATTTCCTTATACTGTTTGAATGTAAATCTTGTTACTTTCTTACTGTGCCAAAAAATAAGAGAAACAAACAAACTGGACAAATCTAGACAGTTCTGACACCAGGGTTTGGTAATCACAGATCTGCTTCATGAGTGTGTGCTGTGGACTAGATCAGAAAACAG